ACACACACACACACACACACACACACACACACACACACACACACTTCGACTCTCCCTTCATGCTCTTTTATCAGCTTCCTCCCACAAACAAAGTCTGGCCTGTACCTGAGGGTCAGAGAGATGAGAGATAGCGTTGCACAGGATATTCCCAGCATTTTCAATGTTTCCTTTTCGGTGCGTTACTGAGGTCTGACTGACACGTCCCAGCGAAAGCGCTTGGAGTTCCCGCGGGACCCGCGCGGCCGTAAAACTCACAAACATAATAATAACAAAGTCATAAATTCTGACCCCTGGTACAGGACGAGTCAAATAACAGCTCCCCAGCTGTGGAATATATGCCCTTGTTATGTGAAGATGGCAGACCCCAGGAGTAAAGTTCATGGCGTATTTGTCACAGCGTGTAGCGCCAGACCTGTTTAATAAGCTAAAAGCTGCCAAAATCTCAAGCGGTAGGAGAGAGATGCCCAGCCATGTTTTTGATCTGCTATGATTTACTGCATATTTTGTAAGCTGTGAGGGCTTTCCAAAATATCCCCCGACGGACAGAACATGAACAACAATGTTCAGCCACACTCCCCGTGTCTGTCCCTTCCAAAACATCCATTGCCTCCCAAGGTCTATTGTTTTAAGGGTTTGTCCCTCACAAGGATGGATTCACCGAAGTAAAGTGGGAAGCTCTCATCATGGGTGACTGGTGCCTCCTGAGTCTGGGGGGTACCTGCAGACATCGGCATTAGCAGTGGGGATGGAGCTGGTGAGCACCCGCAGATGCCGGCAGCAGTGGAGCTGGCAAGCAACTTCAAGTGCCAACGCTGGCGGTGGGGACTGAGCTGGCGAGCACCTGCAGATACCGGTGGCGGTGGCAGTGGTGGGGATAGAGCTGGTGAGCATCCACTAATGCCCACATTGGTGGTGGGGACAGGGCTGGTGAGCACCCACAGACACCGGCAGTGGTGGCGGGGATGGAGCTGGCGAGCACCTGCAAATGCCACATTGGCAATGGGGATGGAGCTGGCGAGAACCCGCAGATGCCGGCAGTGGTGGCGGTGGTGGGGATGGAGCTGGCGAGCACCTGCAAATGCCCACATTGGTGCTGGGAATGGAGCTGGCAAGCACCCACAGATGCCAGCATCAGCATCAGTGATGGCCCTGTCGTGCCCCCGCTACCAGTTGCCTATGGTACCCATTATGGGTGTCGTTCAGTATAATACAAAGAGCCTGCTTAGAGCCATGCACATCCTTTAGTCTCCTGTTAAGGCTTGTGAGGAGCAGGGAGACTTTGGGACACAGTATACATTTTCTTTGCCAGAGTGAATTTCTCCCAACGTGGCCAAGCTATTATTTGTGATAGATGGGAAATCTGATAAATCCCAATACAGAGAATACAGGTCTTGGGAAATCCACTGGTGTACTTTGGCAAGAGATAACAAGCTTAGCAACTGCCTCAGATGACCACATACCCCGCAAAGTGCACCAGCATAAGCCCCTCAGTCAAAGGGAATATAGAGGCAATGGAAAGTTCAAACCCTGCTGGGGAAGGAGAGAATTATTATAGCTACTTGTTGCAAAGAGCAAATACCCTGCCAGAAAACAGACAAGACAATTGTTCTTCTCCATCGCAGACACTTGGGAGGAAATGGGTCCTCTTTCAGAGACCATACAAGGGAATGGGAGTACAGTTACTGATATATGGAGATATGAAAATCCTAGCATTGACCCTATGTTGCGCTCCAGTGCGAGCCATCCCAATGCCAGAAGGCTTTATCTGCTCATTCCTCCCCTTTCACTCAATGTGTTTTATACATTTAAAAAAAACCAAATAATTTTATACATTAACATATATTATATATTTCCTCCCTTTTTTTCCCCCACCCCTGCCAAGCACCTGCCAACACGCTGATTGACTGACTGGGACCATGGTGGTAGTGGGGGTGGGGGTGATTTCATTGTTAAATCAACCTTCCCCATCTCTATCTGTTCAGGGAATCTCAGTTTCCAAAGAATCTTTTCCCTTTAGACACTACAAACTTCTACGAGGCCTGAAATTTCCATTACTTGTTTCTCCCCATTGCTATTCATTATGCTGACATTTATACATGCTCCCTTTTCTCAGACACCTTCCTTGGGAGCCCAGTGTTTTGAGTGTTATAACAGCAGTACTTAGCACCCTATCACACCGTACTGCTTCAAAGCACTGGGCAGCCATTCACAAATTCATCCTCACGGCGCCCTTCATGAAACAGGTAAGTGTTTGTACTGGACCTGTTCAAAAGTCATACATTGGAAGAAATACGGGCCACATCTCTTGCTATGCAACGGCTGCTTTGCATTGCCCTGGTAGTAACAAAGCTGCTGTAATCCCAGCTCATCCAGCAAGTGAAGGATTTTCCTGCAATACTGGGAGAAACACAGAGGTGGGGTAATGGCTACTAAGCACATCCTTTCTTCTCAGCCCCTGGGTGGTGAAGAATACCCAGGAAAAAAGGGGAATATGGCTGAGGTTTCTTTGTTTTTATGGCACTTGGCTGTCAAAATGGCTTGCAGGCATCTGAGCCTCAGCAGCAAAGCCTGAAATTGTCTGCATTTCATTCAGGGGACCAGACCTGAGCACTTTGCCTTTCATTCTGGGGACCAGACCTGAGCAATCCAGAATTTAGGGGCAGAGGGGGCATTATGCAGGCAGTGTTGTTGGAGGCACTGGGATGAGAGAGAGAACCAAAAACCAGATCTCTTAGGCTCATTAAATATCTCAGTAGGTCTTCCCCCAGCATGACGGGTATTTGCCTGGAGTCCGGGGCAGATAGACAGCTTGAGAATATACCCATCCTATGGGTACAAACTGGTTTTTAAATGATGTGCGTTATGAACCTTTTCTTTCTGTTCATTGCTGCTCATCGGCGGCTACGATGCTGTGCTTCAGAGGTGGATGCATTTCAGTGGTGAAGGGTGTGAGTGAAGCAGCTTTCCTTTCTAACCCGAATAGCCTATGACTTATCTCAGACAAAACATATTAGGATTCTTTAAGGCGAAAGCCACTTTAAGCTTGTCCTGCTGTCACAGGGCTAAAACAAGGAGCCTTATGGCAGGGTATTACTACTTTATTTTATTTTTTTCCATTTATGTTACTCCCACCCCCAGCTCCTAGCTTTCCCTGTGCGCATCCGTCTCCAAGCCTAGTTATCACAACCTTGAATGAAAGCTTCAACTGTACGGCCAAGTCCCTTTGCTACAAAAGCTGCTCCTGCAGCTTGGTGGTGTGCCAGGAACGGTCACTCCAGGCATCTCCTGCAAGTCCCCTCCGGAGAGCTCCCGCTCCAAGGACTGCCAATTCCCCCTTCCAAAAGCTCGTTCTGAACCCATTGCCCTACGGACCTGCAGTACAACCAGCAGGACAGAAGCAGCAGTTTATCAGGCCAGAGCAGAACAAGAAAACACCTGGATCTTCTCTTTGAAAATCTATCTTCTGCTGAGCACGGGTCTAGTAGAAAATGTGCGGTGAAAAATAAGTCTCATTTCTACAGGAAGAAGAGCAGAAGCTGATCTTGAGAGACTTGGAAGATCACGAGCATTTCCTAAGAGTTAAAACAACGAATAGCTGTCTGCTTATAAGGTCTCTAGGTTTTAAAGGGTAAAAGGACAAAACTGCCATGGCTTATTCCAGGTCATCCCGCGCAACAGAAAGGAATGGCCCCAAACCTAATTAAAAATAAGGAGTGCACAGAAAAAGAGTGGAAAAATCTCAGGAAATCTGAAAGTTTAATAAGTTTTCTCCAGTGCTTAAATCAGTTCTCCAGGGTGTACTGTATGTTTTGTGTGTTTCTTTTCAGCAATTTTCCTCCATCGTAACATTTTAAATATCCGAACAAACTCGGGTGGCAAGGGGGGTTTCTGCGCCTGCTTCTGAAATCCAGTGAAGCTTAAAGGAAAAGCAAGAAATATGGATGAAACGTGAAGCTTGTTTTGTGAGTTTACTGAACTGAAATAACAGTATGAAGTTTCAGTGCTGGACTGAGTGTTTATTGACTTTTCAACTTTATCAACTGAGCAAGCAACATGAGAGTGAGATTAAAGAAAAAACTGGGGATCTGATTTCTATTTATATATTTTTAGCGAGCCAGAAAATCCCCATTAGATATTATAAAAAATTGGGTAGTAGTCCTCAAATATTTGGGGTTTGTAGATTTGCAATACGTTTGCACTTATTCCTGTTCCTTAGCTTTACTTAAATTGTAAAACCATTGAAATTAAAAAGGCCACTTTAGATTGAACCTAAAAAAGAGACTAGAGAAGCCTTTCCTTGAAACACATAACCCAGGATATGAAGAAAAAGCTGTCATACCATTACATTTAATAACTGCTATGTCGTTGCAATGCAAAGCATTAAAGATATTGCATTAAAGCTAGTTTATATACTTGTGCCATTTTTAAAGCTGTATAATACTTAAAAAGATTGTTATTATTAAATGCTTGTCTTCAGTTTGTAACTGGTTTATTCATGAACACACAATCTTTACTGCACAGTATTTTGTGATGAGCCTATTTTAAAAAAAATAAAAGTTGGTGACTTGAAGCAATAAAAATGTTTTAAATAGATCTATATTATATTCCCCTGGATATTTCCAAGTTATTTATCTGTACATATTTCACAAAAGGCACCGGAAGAAATCATCTCATTTTTAGTTTTCTATTTAGAAAATAAATTTAAAAAAATAAAATGGAATATTGAATGTAAAGGAAGTGAATGCGTTTAATGAAAACTTTGCACTGCTAAATAATTACTTTTTAAAAAGTAATACAGGATATTATCCCTGAAATCGTTTATTTAAAAAGCATTAGTAATAAATGGATTTTTCAAATGTACTTTTAAGTTACTTGAAAAAAAGTCTTACTATCTTTAAATGCTCAGAAAGGTCTTAAGAGACATTTGAGATTTCCACCCATAATACTATGAACCAAACCTACCCACTACTTTGAAGTTTCCACCCCAGGAGAGGATTTTGTATTATATTATGGCTGATTCTCCTCCCATTTTTTTTCCATTCAGTTCACTGGCAGATCGTGTGTTTTCCATCCCTGATATACAAGGCTACACCAATAAAACAGTTACATTG